TTTTGGACCTGATGAGCTCCAGTCATCGGAAAAAATTGAACTACTAGTGCTTTTCTTGGACAACTTCATTGATTCATTTATTAATGGAAAGAACATGTCGAGACTAACATTTGGATACTAATTTCATGATATTTTCATCAAATTTTGAAACTTTAAGTTCTCAAGAAAGTAATCTATAGAGTGAATCATTATTCTAATAATTCATCTCGTTAAGGTGGATTCAATTTTGAGAGTAAGAAGACAAGATAAAATACTATTGAAATTATGAATTTGATGGGTCTTTGATGAGGCTTTAATCACATATATGTAAATCAGCAATTTATTGTTTTATTCAAGGAGATATGGCTTCGGTGTACTGATAGATGCCATTAGCATAATTACTACATTTATCATTCATTCTTATCTTTTAATATATATTCTTATTTAGAAATTGAAATAATCAAAATTCTGATATTGATCATTTGATAACTTTTTTAGAAAGTCTCAATATCATATATTTTCTAATGTCAACAAAATCGTGCTACTTAAAAAATTTCTAAGTATACTATTCTCAGGGCGCAATTTTTTATCTTCTTAATCAATATTTAGAAGATTTCGATCAGAAAAAAATCTAAGTTGATCTAGGTGCAATATAAAGAATTTCTGGAATTTTTTTATCGAGAAATTTACGCCTGATCCTTCTCAGGAACTGAACGAAGAATAAGTGGCATCAAAAAGCCGTTTAGATGTTATAAAGAAACGTCAAAATTTGCTCAGAGTTATAAGATGCAAAAATCTAGACAATATAAGCAGTGTTTTCAAAGAATTCATCTTTCGCCTGATTCTGAAGAGGACCAAGGGATATTGTTCGACAAAAAAGTTTCAGCAATTCTTTATATTATACCTAGGCCAACTCAGATTTTTATGCTGATTTCGAACATCATACTCGTGTATCAGTGCTAGGAATTAATTGTTGGATTCCAACCGACCTTTTTAAAGAATCCTCTAGGTGTCAACACTGATTGTTCACGTCATCTATTGATCAAAATTTAGTCGCTTTATATGTTAAAGACACAAGCGTTATGTTTCACGATGTTGTAAAAGAACGTTCAATAGTCAGCACAGAATCTATTCTTGGACACTGTTGCATGATTGAATGTAGCCTTAGAATTTGTCCACTAATACTTTTATCCAATAGGTGATAAACATTATTAGCAAAGTTCCAGTCTTCTGAGACTGGCTGTGGTTGAATATTTATAGTATTCTGTATTTTGCATTGATATTTTCAATAACAATTATTGAAAGAGCACTAATTGGTTGTTTAAATTCAGAACACTCACGACATTCTGTTGTTTTACCGTCATTTGCATCGAGAAAATCAAAATTTCTAGTTCCAAGATTGATAATCAATAATTTTTCATAAGTTACATGGCTTCTACTATCGCACTAAGTTATAAGAGAGACATAAGGATATGTCATATATTCTGCAATTTGAGGCAATCAAGTTTCAGCTCAGTCATTGGAGACCAGTAGTATTGTTCAAACCAACGAAATATCAGGCAAACTTGCTATGAATAGCAATTACGTTAGCAAAATAGATTCGTGATCATGTGACGAGTGTTATTGGCACAACAGCTATCTGCTGATTCGTAATTCATGTTAATTCAAAACTATCATTCACCAAACTATAGGGACATTCCTTGATATTTGTCAAGTGAACAAACAATACCATAAACCACAAACAATGAAAGTTCACGTGTCCGATGCAACAATTTTTTAATCCAGACGCACTTCGAGGTATCCTTTGACTATACGAGCATATATTTGTTTAACAATGGTGGTCACAATCTAAATTGAACATCATTAAAAAGTATTTCAATCAAGTTCGCATACCCAACGAATACATCTAATACACGAAACAACCTGTTGTCCCTTTTCGACAGATGTTGTTATTCCAGAATTGATTAATATTTCCTCCTTATGAAGGTTGCCTTTTTCTTCTATAGAAAGACTTCCACAATGGTATACAAAAGTATAAAAATGAATCTTATTTGAAATATTAAGAACTGAATTCTTGAAATCATCCACAGTGAACTTTGCTAGGAAATGTCCCACAGTTGATTGTAGGCCGTGAAATTGAAATTTGAATGGAGTCAATTTCCCTAAAGCGAACACACTTCATATCGGTACTTCCTGTGACTTAGATATCTCCATCATTTTGCATCCTAAGACAGTATTTTTAATACTAAGAAAAAGACCATGAAATTTTTCATTCTGTGATTTAAAGAAACAATTTTTAGTTGTTAAAACAGTTGAGTAGTGATTGGTATGAAATCAAGAATTAAAAACGTTCTCTTTATGTACATTTTCTTAAAGAGAACGCATCAGCGCAACATAAGCAAAAATGTGAATAAACTAAGAATTTACATATTTTGACCTGAAAATTTAATTGAAATATTTTTACAAATGGTATTATTCGATTCCTCATCTTCAACTCTATCATATTTCAGTGGTTTAGCTTAATCAATGCTTATCTCAATTATTAATTAAATTTTATAGAAATATATGCGGCGTTCACTTTATATGTCATTTCGGTGAAACGAACGTAACACCTATTTTGCCTGGAGAGCAAGCATCCTTCAATATTACACTCATTTGCCACTGATAATAAAAGATCCTCAATTATAATCCATGCTGCTTTTGCTGATATTTTGCGTACATGTGGAGGGCCTTATTCAAAGAGAAAGCCTAAGAAGAGTTGAAGCTAAGTGTTTGAAATTTATAGGCGAAAATTGAGTTATAGAAGAAACCTTTAACAGGAACATAAACAAAGAAAATATCGATTTTTAGTTTTTCGTCATCTTACGGCGTTCGAATCATTTTATTATCATTTTCAAGTAAAAAAAGAGAGAAAATCGCCGACAATATATTAATAATTACTAACTACAGTAGCATTTTATAGTGTATTCACAATACAAAATTGTAATTAACAGTGAGTCAACATTGATTATGATAGGAAATATTCAATTGAAGATTAAAATTAGCAATGGCATGATGATATGGATACCGAAAATCTATTCATTTAACTCACACACCGCACCCGCAGGGGAGGGGATCTCTTTTAGCATTGGAAAAATGTTACTCCCATCAGTTTTATGACTTTCTGGAGAATTTCCTGTCTTTTTCTTATATGCTATTAGCACTGAAACCCCGTACAACCTCACTTATCCACCTTTGACCCGGCCCAGCCCATTGAGATCTTTGATGTCTATGTACACATATACATGTATATACAACGACAGTCTGGACGTTAGCTATTGATTTCTACGCGACGACAGCTAATATTTATTGTGTTCAATTCAATGAACAAGAGTCACTCAACTAATCAATAACAACTCTATCAAAACGATGAACTATGAAATGTAGTTATTGTTAATGCAGATATGTTGCTTCGATTATTTGTTTCTCATTTTTTTCTTCATGATGAACTTGTTAGATTTATAGTTTGACTGTAAAATAGTGTTTTGTTCTTTTTTTGCCATTGTTGATATGCTGCATCTCTTCTTTTTGCGCGCTATATGAAATGAGATATATATCTTTTACTTTTTCGTGTATTTTACTGAAAACTTGTAGTGAATATGAAACGGTAGTGACAGGAGATAATTCTGTTAACCCATAAAGGGACTACACCCGAATCACAAGGCATAGGCAGGAGTTTCAAGAAAATAGATTCAAGCAAGAATACAAGAATCTTATTGGTGTGGCAGTTCTTGCATAGTCGGCTAAGATTTGCCCTACATGGATCTAGCCATAAGGTTAAGATCTATTTTTTCAAGCAAAAATTTTATGTTGAAATAAATGTAAAAAGAATCTCGAAAGAGTTATGACAAGAACGTTGACTAGTGTTGAAACAAGAATTGTTAGCTTCTTTTATTTAATTGCATTTTACAGTTAATCTGAATATGAAAAGGCGTTTTTTTTTAAAGTCATCATTTAATAAAATTGTATAAATGACTCATCAGCAAAGAATAGAGGATGAACTAACATAGTTTCCTTCCATTATCGGTTATTCCATAACTTTAATCTATTTTTGTATATACAAATGTATAAATGTTTTGCTAAATGTTTAGCAAAAAAGTGAACATGAGTATTCATGTTGTCATTGCCTCTGAGCAAATCTTTAGGAAAAAGCTTGTAAGAGTACATGAACAGTATTATTAACATAAAATTGCTCGAGTACACACGCGAGTAATTTGGATACTCATGCTGGCAAATTATACTCACTTAGTGAGTAATTTCATTAGAGTATTTTTTATTATTTCGAATTGACATGAATGCAGCTACAAACAGTATAGAATTAATCTTGAGACAAACAATACATAATAAATTTTCTTATCTATTTATTTTAAAATAAGAATTTTTCTTTATACATAAATTAATATTGAACAACAAAACAGTAACTATTAATTGTTCATCATAAATTGATTTTTCGCAAAGGTACTTCGTTACTATAGATTAATTGTATCCGAGAGCTTTCAGTTAATTTTTTAATACATCATATGACTCGAATAATATTTCTTTAAGTTTCTCTTGTTTCGAATTTTTAGTATGAAGAATTTAAAAGACTATTTTCTCTACTTCTTGGATTTACATTGCAAGATTAAAAGAACAGGTCTCTATAGGTTCAAATATAAGTCATTCAATATTAAAGTTCGTTCTAACTTATATACATATGCATTATAAGATTTATTTAAAATGACGGAGTTTCTTCAAAATTTTTGTTTCTATGCTATTCGACGTGTTTTATGGCTAATAAATTTATTATTTTTTTTTTAGCTTTTCTTTTGTCTTTCAAATAATATTGAATTAGGTTTATTATAAATCAGAGATGATGTTAATGATTGTGATGATGATAATGATCGATCAAGTAAATATCGTCGTCGACTTTGAGGTGATTGTGAATAGTTAACTATTTCTATTGGTAATGATGATAATGTTGAATTTTGTCTTATTGTGATGAATTATTGTTCTTCTTCTTCTTCTTCTTTAATTAATTTTAATTGAATAAAATATTTTGTTATATGTTCAATAATTGATTCAATTTGATCACCAAGTGATCGTCTATTCGATGAAGAATTTAAACGTAAAAAAATATTTTCAAGAACTTTTTTATATTCAACATCGTCTGTTGACCAAATGGATTTAAATTTATGTAATATATCATCATATATACTTTGATATCTTAAATCTGTTTCAATATGACGATAATGATAAACACAAGCGAGAATTATTGTTTTAAAAGTTCATTCTTGTATATCAATAGACAATGTCGGATGACGATTATGATATTTATCAGCTAAACGACGAAGTTCATTATCAGTAATTAATTCTCTTGCTAAAAAAGAAAAAGGAAAAATTTCTCTGATTGATAAAACTTTTAAAAATGTTTTATCTTTACAAAATTTTGTTGATATTTTATTTGTGACATTTTGTATGATTACATGATAAACAATTGAAGTAAGCTGTTGATTGATACAATTTCACTTAAGAAATGTATAAACATTTCATTTTTCTTTTTATTCTTCATATATATATAAAACGCATCATGGTCTTTTTTTTCGTCTTCTATACTATTCAATTATTGAAAGGTTCTTTAAAAGTGCATTTTGTTTGCTTAACTAAATTGAATATACACTTTTGACAAATTACCAAAAGCAACGTATTGCTATGGGAAATAATTCATATTGACATTCGTTAAAATAAATTACTATGATAGTCAATATTAATTAAAATGAAAAGTATTCCACTAATATCAAAGATGAAATTCCAAAGATTACGAGAGAAGTCTCTTAATTGATTAATCGCATTTGAATCGAGACTGGGTGTATTTTGTAGATCCAAATGAGCTATGAAATCTTGTCATTATACCTATCTTGAAATACAGCTATGATAAAAGCGTATCTTGTACATCGCTCATATATAGTGTCTTTCAAAAGTCGATCGGGTTCAAGTCTAAAAATTTTGGACCCAAGAAACTCTAGTCAGGCACAATTCAAACTATACACATGAGTTTTCTATCATTTTATTCAACTTTCTTGAAAGTTTTCTTTTACATAACTTTATTGGCGCTTGCTGTTCAACATGTCTACACTGAAATGAAACTTATGAGTCCACTGTTTTCAAGTTTTTGAAAAATGAAGCATTACCTAGAATTTCTATTCAAATCATTGTATTCTTCTCAGGAATTCTTCTTGTTAATTCAACCTGATCTTTAATAGACATCTTATGGACATTGTCTTTCATGTATTACTATATAAACAATTCGAAAAATTCAAAGTTCAATAAGCGTGAACTTCATCAAAAAGAACCATCTCTTTGAATTCACATGTTAGGAAGAGAAGCTGTCTAGAAAATTGATGCATGTCAGATGAAATGCGGCGACACCTCATTTTGTTGAACCACTTAACGAGTTCTGCAATAATTCTTAATGATGTTGAAAAAAGATTTCAAGTAATCAGAACATTTCCTGTGAATACACTTTCACTAATAACATGAATTGCATTGATGTTTTTGCTTCTATCATTATTGTAGAACGTTCAGAATGTGACTGGTCTGCTCAAGAATCATCAGTTTCATAAAATTATTTAGAAGTCTCTTTAATATCATCTTCATTTATTGTTTCTGTGTCAAATTCGACTAGCATAGTTCGTTCTACAATCATAGCTGACTCAAATTCGGCCATGAATAAAACTATTTCGATTCCAATATTAATAGACATAGACATTTGATTTGAACCATGTTGAATAAAACTTAAAGAAATATCGAACGAAGTTATAGAAAATTAATGTAAATCATTTGAACTGTTCGAGCACTATTCACGTGTTTTTTTATCCCGATAGACTTTTGGAACAATCTGTATAACGGCAGATTGAATGTTCTTATTTCAGTATAGAAGTCGATCAAAAGACATGAAACTTTCACAATAAGCTACTTTCGTTAAGGTATGTTTCTATGCAAAATTTCAAGTCTAAAATCAGTTGTCCGGGTGTTCCTGAGGGAAATGAGAGCATTCATTTAAAACTACAGTGAAGTTTGCAGTGTCTACGCAACAATAGGCCAAGGATTCGAACTCTTTTCACAATATTCAGAAGTCTATATAATACGCATAGTCCCAGCTGAAAAGCAATTAATCAGTTGGGGGATTTCTCTTGTTAGTAGAATCGAAATCGTATATTTAATTGTTTTTATATGTAAGAAAAAACTTTATGATGTTTAGTTTTGTTATTATGAAGACAGCAAGTGTTGTTTATTTCTATAGGATTTTTCTCTTTTTTTCCTCATTAAAACCATTCTCGGCTTTGTATGAATTTCTAATACTTTGCAGTGTTTCTTTGACAATATAAAGATCATTACTGCATAAACCTACTTTGTCCTTCCTGGTTTCTGGAATGATTAACTCCAATGCCATTGCTATTCTAGTACCGGGTTACGTTATCATGATATTGTTTTATTTGAATGCTTTTCCGTTACAGACATAATAGCATTTTTGACCTAGACATTATATTTGTAATATCTATTCAACAATGTTTAATTATTTCATAAATACTGACTAACATTTTGTTTTAATAATAAATACTGTTTGATAGAATTTAATTATTTTCTTTAGAAAAAAAAACGAAAACTTCAATTTATTAATATAGAAAATAACTTCCAATGAAATCTATTCATTAGCATTTTAATATTATTAGTATTATATAAACTTTTTTTTTCAACCAGTAAAATTAGAACTTTTAGTTCAACAAATTCATATAACTGATTTCTAGTGTACTTATTCATTGAATAAGTGACTGCGACCTAAGTAGTTAATGAAATGATAATCTTGTCTTGAAGTAATCCAAGTAGTATTTTTTTAGAATTATTTTATATTAGATGTAATTTATATATTTAGGCTATACTGATTCTCTAAAACTAGTCGAAAAGTTCGTAGACTGAATTTTAATTTAAACAATATTCTGTGCTTATATATAGAAAATTTGCATGAGAAAATATTTGAAGATACAATAAGTATCGGCATTACTCTTATAAGAAGACGGGTAAAATAAGTCTTCTTTTTTTTTCTTATTGAAAAGGTCAAGTTATTGCTTGAATGTTTCTTGTCGAATTCACATATATATTACAAGAGAAATAAATATGATGATTTGTCAAAGTTCCCCGTATGTATATAAATTGGTAATTATATAACAAATAAAAGTAATTACGGAAGTGTGAGTAAGTAGAAAACGTTGCCGAAGAAAAAAAATGAGAACAAAAAAAAATCTTTTATTCATTAATAAACAATAAATAAATAAATATCAAGTTTTGTACTTTTCAAATCTTTATTGTGTTGATTAAAGCCTAGTTTTTAAAACTATTATAATAAAAACTTTTTATTTGAAATGTTTCATTTTTGAAATCTTAATTTTTTCTTCTTGCTATATATGATTATTGAGAGGAAGAAGGTAAATATTAATATACCCTGAGGGCATTTTATAGCAAAAGGTCGAAACTAGCTGTCAATCTTTCTTTTCTTTACCATAAACAATACTAATCTATTTCCATTACTCAAGTAAACAGCTTCTTATGGCAATGTTTTACTCAATATATAGGAAACTTATGTTGTCGAGGAACTTTTATTACTATATTCATATAGCATTCTCCATTTGTCTTTTTTTTATTAACTAGCTCTTCGGTTAGTTATATCTTTAGGCAATAAATAGCAATTACAAACATATGTAGGCAACAATAATAATAATAATAAATTACATCAATACAAAGGTAGACATTAGTACATAAAAACTCTGTGCGAACTAGTCATAGTTATAATTTAAATAAAACATTTATTAATGGCTGTATATATATATGAATCAGAAGAGAATTTTAAAATTTTGATGAGATATTTATTAGTTTTAATTTGTGATTTAATGAATAAATACCTTGAAAGTAAGATTTTTTTTCTTTTCTTAACAACTAAGATTTTTTTTCTTTTCTTAACAACTAAGATAAGAAATATTCTCATTGAATATTCAATGCAAAAGTAGAAAATAAATGCATACCGATCGAGAATAAATGAATGAATGAACTATTTAATAATTAAAACAAGAAACTTAACATGAAAACAGAATATCAAAAGAAAAAGAAGTAAGAATAGATTTCGTACGTATTATTCGACAAAGACTCGATGTATTCAACTGACCTAATTTAATTGACAAAAGAATGATAACGTATGATGCATTCTAATCTAAACTATTTAGATGTTTTGTGTCGATCTGGAAAATATCGCAATAATTCACGTAGTAATAAGTTAAAATAATAAAAACAGGAAAACATTAATAAAATAAAACATTATTTTGTCACTTCTATTTTTGGTAATAGTATAAGGATATATTTAAAACAAAATTGCTTTCAATCAAGACATTCATACACATAATTGTCATAGATAACTGTTTGTATATATTTTCTACATATTTATAGGCGTACATGCTTTTTGTTTCTTGCTGCACTTATTGACATGCAAATCGCATGTCAACTTGCATTATTTTATTTTCTACTCAAAGCTCAAAAAGAAAGAAGAAGCTTGAACTAAAGCAATATGACACATGCATTTCACACACTTATATATCACATTCTATTCACGAATTCATAATGAATTGATCATGCAATGATCCATGGCATGCTTCAATTTTATGTTGACAGTCTCTTTCATGTTACATTAACGCTTCAAACTTAAGAGGACGGAAGATAAAAGTGTTAAAAAGTTTGACACTGAATAGGAAAAATTGTTTGATGACTTGTCTCTCTTGGCTTTCGTCTACACCTATCAGAAAGATAATTGATGCAGAAGAAAGAGGATGAATATCTGTCGACTCTTTTCCTTTCTGAAAACTTCCGTTTCTTCTTCTTTTCTTCGTCTTTTTCTCTTTCTGTTTATCTCACTTTGCTTTTTATATTTCCCACATAGTTCTTCTTTCAAGTAAAGTAGTCAAAAAAAAACAATCTGTATATATATACATTTACTTCTATTTTGTATTGACAATGAATTTTGGAATGAATAATACAACAACAGCAGCACTTATTCATGTTCACATTCCTAGTTTACGTATACTTATTGCATTTCTTTGTTTTGTTCTTTATCTATTTGGTTATACCGGTTGTCTATTATCAATTGTAACGTTTAGTTCAAAGAAACTTCGTCATCATTCCACCGGTTTTTTATTTTTTGTTATGGCTTTTGTTGATATATTTAATTTAATTGCTAGTTTACAATATTTTTTTGATGTTATCTATCAAATCAATGTTTATACAATATCTATACATTGGTGTCGATTCTTTACAATGTAAGTTGAACTGATGTGTTGTTGTTTTTTTTGATTTCATATCAAATGGATTAAATTGATGTTTGTATTTTTCTATTTTAGTTTTAATTATGAACTTTATTTTGGATTTTCATGGGTACTTGTTTTTATATCTGTTGATCGTTGGATTAAAGTTGAATGGCCAACAAAAAGTCAAACATTATGTACAAGAAAAAGATTTATTTATTTATGTTTAATAGCATTTATTTCAAGTCTTCTACAAAATATAATTTATACATTTTTATGTTTCAATGATAAATGTCAACAAAAAAATCTTACTTGTGAAATATTTATTCATACTATATATATAACTATATATATGATAATACCAATTGCACTTATTCTTATATCTATAAGTCGTACGTGTTTAATAATAATACATTTAAAAAAACGTTTTCATACATCAAATCAACAACAAAATCAAACGAATAATGTTTCACGACCTTTGAAATTAGATACAATTGTTCATTGTAATTCAACATCTGATATGAATATAAATTCAACAATTGGAACAACTCATATATCAAGTTCATTTATCAGTTTACCATCAACAACAACAGCAGCAGCAACAACAACAACAACAACAAATAATACAAATTATCATCAAATAAAAAATAATCGAAATCATCTAACGAATTATTCAATACATTCACGTCGACGACGTTCACGTTTAGATACACAAATGATTATATTAATATCAATTAATGTTGCACCATTTATTATTGTTCATATTATAACTGAAATCGCATATCTATTTGAAAAATATTCAACATTTGTAGCACAATCAAAAGTAGCACAATTATTTATCGTATTAATTTATCTTTCATGGTATTTAATATCAGCAACACGTTTCTATACAAATTGTCTTTTATCACGTATTTATCGAGAAGAATTTCAAAATCGATTATATATGTTAAGACATGGTTGTAAACCACGAATTATTATAGTTGGTCAAGCACAAACATGTCATAATTCATCAAGATTTCATATGGGAAGTATGGTTAATGGAGTTGACAGTACAATTACACCGACAGTTAATATAAAGCGATTGGCTTCGATATGAAAAAAAAGAAAGGAAAAAAAATCTTCATTTCCCGTCCATGCTTTTTTCATCTTATTGTTGTCATTCGATGTTGTTTTACTATTTTTATCATACGTGTCATTAATGATGATAATAATAGCGATGGAAAATCGAGTATTCAACTATTGACGTCTGAGTGTTGCCATAGCACTAAGACATATATTTATCATTGATGAGTCAATAAATGAAATAAATGCATTTATGCATGTCATGAAAATAAAGAAAACATCCTAATGTTTCCATCATAGCTCTTTTGTTTTTAATAATAGCTTTCAGCTATCATTTTTCTTTAACAAAACGTAATAACTAAATTACAATGATCATACGTTTTCTATATTATTAATTGACATTATTTCATCGGCTATTCAAGAGAAAAACCAATGTAATCGTTATTGACAATATACAGACAATAATATTATTATGGATTTTTGTTTGCATTGAAAAAAGAATGAGAATATTGATCATGTTATGATGTTTATGAACTATAATTGATGATTGAGAGATAAGAAAAACAATAGAGTCTATAGAATTTTCGAGCAGCAAAAAAAAACACTTTCTTTGTTCTTCTTCATATTTTCTTCGTTAGTTAGTGATGACGTGAGTAACATCAATAGAATTTACATATCGGCATTTTTATTAGTAATGAGACACGGGAGTAGATAATAAATCACTAATTTATCTATTTTTTCATGTTTTCCGAACTTTTCTTCTTTGTTATTCGCTAATTCTATCCTTGATAATATAAACAACGTCAAAAATCAGTATATTTTGACCTTTCTATATTGTTTTAATAGAAGCAACCGATGATTGATATGCGTATCGTATTTGACAGATACAGAATTACACGACTGAAGTATATTATAGCAATGACAGACACAAAGAGTGTCAAAATAACATATAGAAGGACAATCTACTGACAACTCGATGAATCGATGAGAAGTAAAACAACAAAAAAACCTTAGTATATTATATTCAATATTAAGATCTATTATTAAATAGACAAGCATATTTAATAAGTTACGATGAATGACATTATTTAAGATATAAAAATATTATATTAATCAATCAAAATTTTATTATATATATATATATATATAATGGAATATACATGCTATTCTCTTCTTATATTTTGTGTTATTCTGGAAATTTTAATAGATGAGTTTTACAAGGATCATTTGATGTCTATTCAGAAGACATGCATCTCTTTTACTTTCCTATATATTTTATAAATAATTGCTTCTGTAGAAAATCTAACTTAAAAACTTTCTTTTTTTATTCAAATGACTTTATTTTCAATAAAAAATGATATTAATAAACCAATGGCAATTCTAAGAGTATCATGAAATAGAATATTCATAAAAGTAATTTTGCTAAATATAAAACTTCATAAGTTGCCCTTAACGATTTTTACTTGACAAAAAGAAAATAAATGCTTGTTCGAGACCACTTCCTATTGTCAAATTTAATAATTATTATTCTTCATTAATTTAATCAACTTCAAAGAATAATAATGCTAGTAGTACTTATTATAATGAATTTCCGGAATCCTCGAGTGTTGCAATTCTTTTATCAAAAAGTATCTGATTAATGATAAGAACAGCAGTATTTTATCCAGATATTCTCTTTCTGTAGAGCTATTTGGAATTCTCAGAGGATCCATCCGATCTTTGAAGAAGCGTGACTCTTTGGTTCTCATGCCGCATATAACACTGAAGAAAAGGTTAAGTTTTATTTATTTTATAAGATGCCGCAAATTTGAAGTTTTAGTGTAATCTGTTGTGCTCAATTTATTTAGTGTTCTTAGATAGAGTACATCAAGTTACCGATGAAAAACTACTTTTTCGATTTTTCTAAACTAGTTTTTCCTGGATATATTGGAGAAAAAGCGAAATTCTAAATATCACTAATAGAATCATTCATTATGACAGATATGTAAATATTTTTTCTTTATTTTGTAGAACATGGTAAGGGTTATTTTCTGATTTTCCAGACAAAATTGACAAAAACACTCTCATATATCTAAAGTATTTTTTGTCAGTTTTGTCCACAGAATTAGAAAATGACTCTTATAATGTTCTATAAAATGAAAAAAAATATTTACCTATTTGTCATTATGAACGACTTTATGCGTGATATTTAGAATCTAACTTTTTTTCCTAATATTGCCAGGAAAAACTTATTTTCAAACATTGCAAAAATAATTTTTCATCGGCAAATAAATGTACTCTATCTAATGACATTAAATAAATTGAAAACAAAAATTTTGCTAAAATTTTGACTTTCCGGCATCTTACTTTGATAATTATTTTGACAAGTCTCGATTCAGTTCTATAAAAGATATTAAAAATATTGTTGATTGTATGGTTATTAAAGGTCAAAATAACCTTCTTAATGATCTATCATGCCTAATATTTAAATTTAAAAATATTTTATATTTTCATATGTCTTCTTTAAAATGGTCAAATGTAAAAACAAAAAAGTTTTTTTCTCTTCATCATAAGCTTGAATAAAAAAGAAAATTAATTATTGCCTAGAAATATTAATTACTCTAATATTTACATGTGTTAATTTCATAATGAAAAACATATGTGTTGTATATAAAGTGACTTCTGATAGAACTAAATCCAATATTGAATCAAAAACAAAACCATGAATAGCATTTTATACTTGATGCAACCATTGAATATCTTTTACATAATGAATTCTAAAGCTATTGGGAACGAGAAAGAATAGAAATTTGAGTATTTTTCTCTTACTTATTGTATTATAGTAGATTTATTGAATTTGATTTATCAAATGAGACAATCTATTTTAGAATAGATATAATTATTGAATGGAAATTTTCATTTAAAATAAGAACAATAGATAGAATAGATTATATAAAACATGAGAATATCTTTTAAAAAAATTCCCGATACATTGACTTTCAAATGACTACTAAATAGAAGAAAAATTTATGTCTATCAATTTCTTATTTTATATGATATTTATCTATTAAATACTTATCAATAAAACATATTCTTTTGTCAGATTTTGATAATGCTCGTTCATAGCTGGTGGTAGAATATAACAATAAAATTTAATGAAAAAAGCTTGTCAGCAGAATCTCTTTGAAGTTATGCTGTAGAGTTCACATCTCGTTTCCTTGCAGCTTGATTACACTAATACAAAATACGTTGAGTGCAAAATCTCAAATAGATAATAGTTGCTTTTCAAGAATAATGGCCTGTCAAACAAATGAGCTGCATAATTTATTTCCGCATTTCAAATAGAATTTATCTTCTTTTTAGTTGTTTACTTGCACTCTTTTTTTATGTCATGTTTCTATTTTCATTATGCTTAAATTACTATAATAATTATTATTATTCTAACTGTTGACAAATAGGCTTCTTGTACATATCTATTATATCAACACCAAATGTCAGCATGCTATTATGTATCTCGCTAATCTCAGAAATATTAATATTGATTATTTCTGAAAGTAAGTGTTAATTATATGACGACTGTGATAGAATAAAATATCATTACTCATCAATCTTTAATATCTTGAATATAATCAGCTATGTAAACAAGTATCGGAAATTGCGCTTTTTAAAATACTCAAAAACATACTCCAGTCTTGTAAATTTCAAGAAAAATTTTGAAATATTCTTGAACCTTCTAACACTTATTGTTAATGCCATTTAGTACTTTTTCTTTTGTTGCTAAGAAACTATAGAAAAGCAGTCTGGCGCCTATTGTCCTTAATTGCAAAAAATCTATTACGAGCGTCTTTGCCAACGTTGCCATGACAGTCAGTGGTATTAAAATTCGTTTTATGGTTTCATCAAATATATGATTTTTCACAAAAGAAAGTTGAGTGTAAAATGTAACATTATTCTTCAATGAAATGACCTGTACATAATGAATACAGAAGTTTTTCATTATATTATAAATAGAATAAAATATATGATGTCTATAAAAGAATTTCTTCAATCAACATAATACATGTTACTATTGTCAAATCATGGAGTTATTCATTGAACAACACGTTTCATTCGTAAAATGAACTTACAAAAAAATTTATATCATCAACAACAAAAATTATTTCATCAATTTAATTCTTTGCTTTAAACAAAATGATTTATCACCAATGTGAACAATGAATGAAATGTTGTTATGGACCTTTTAAATTTCCTCTCTCTAATGAGTTTCAGTGGAATTATTTAAACTGAATTATCAGCTTGAGTATGATATGAATTTATAAAAAATGTGCCAAAAACAGTTATATTTACTAAAATTCAACCCGTACTTCTAATTTTTTTTCAGTCTGAATCTGATAGTTACTCAGCATTATGCTGCTAATATAACCTATACATTTCTAAGACAATCTTGACAATCATCTTATTATAATCAAGTCATAATTGGTTGTTATTTTTAGAGTAATTTCTGTCCTAGACTGAACTTTGTGGATATATTTGAATTATAATTCGAATAATGTATTAATTCTATATAAATACTACAACAAAACCTATTGTTATAATAACCAATATTTTTTTATATAATTAAAATTTATTTTAAATAGGTAAATATTCAATTAAATTAAGAAGATATTCTTCAAATGATAATGATTGATATGATTGAATAATTTGTCGAAATTTATTAGTATAATAATTTTGAATAATTATATTTGTTTTATTTGTTTCAATTTTTCGATTTTTTGTATTTATTTGATGTTGATATAACTGTTGTATAGTACGAATTATTTTATAACAACTTCGATATGAACTAGTTAACAATGACGTCTACGAGAAATAATAAAATCAATATAATACCTATGACGCGAAAGTCTTAGTACAAAATATTCACTCATTTTTCGATCACTTAAAAAAACAACTGTTTAGAATTAGAAGCAATTAGTTGGAAATAAACATGTTCAGAAATTTCTTTCCGCGGTAAGAGTTAAACAACTATCATCAGATAGTTTCAAAAGATCCAAAATAGTAGTTGTATAGAATAGTATTTTGTTCAATTTTGTATTTTGATTAAAATCTATCAAAGTCAAAATGCGAAGCAGTTTTTGATTGGTCAATTTTATAGAGCAAAAGGTGTGTTATTTACAGATTTTAAAACTTTTGTGTTTTTTAAAATATTGAATGCTGATTTCCATAAAAACTAGCTCTTTAATGGAAACGCATAGATTAGATCTGAATATATATTTAGAAATAACGAAAATTTTTAATTTGAACTAACTGCTTCTCGCTCTAATCAGTTGTCTTTCAGTGACTGAAAAATGAATAAATATTTTGCGCCATAGATTAGTATAATTCAATACAACTTACTCGAAACATATCATTCCATTGTTTAATATTTGTATTTATCAATAATAAATTATCAAAATATGGAACGACATCAGTCCAATTCCAAAGAGTTGTAGTAAATAATGGTTGAGAACGATGACCATTTGGACGCAAACGACCAATACATAAATCCTCAAATTTATCATAAATACCTATGCAATATAAAACCGTTTAAGGCCGGTTCCCTCCTCCTCCAAAAAAATCGATTTTTCTAAGAAAAAGACACATTATGAGATAAACATATAGGCATGGCCCATGAGGTGTTTAGTTTGAAAATTCATACGAAAGACTTTCAATTTTGAAAGGCTTCTTCAGAAATCATGATTAATTTCTAGAGCTCTCCAACGAAAGACTGATACCATATCATTAGGAAATTTATAAGAGCTATTGCGACTATGGCCCCTAATTGTAGCTGAACGCCCACTCGATAAGACTCTAAATGAATTTTTAATCGGCACGTAATATAACTATATTTAATGCTCATACCAGAAAGTTCGTCAGATAAATATACATAAGAATTCTCAAAATTGGTTTTTGCATAAATTGCCGAATTCCAAACAAAGTTCTTTTCGATAGTGTTCGTTCTAGTGAACTGTAGATTTTTTTTAATTCGATAGATAGATACATTCTCTTTCGAATGAGAATTAGGGATTTCGTACTCGACGCTCAATATCAAAGTAATCATTAGTTTTCCAATAAAACATTACTTAAAATTTGGAAGGCTCTAAAAATAAAATAAAATAAAATTTATAAATTTCTTTTCCTTATCCGAAGCAGTAAGAAGTTCTCTTTGAAATGAGAGTAACTCGAGCGCTATAGCTTGAAGTCTATTGTAAAAAACATTTGTTCGCGTGAAAGTCCTATGGTGCATGGAAATCTCCTAAACGGTAAGGTTCGGAGTCGTGAAAATTTTTTTAATAGTGTATTTTCATTAGTCGAACATCTTCAGCAAGTTTTATGAACATCCTATGTATTGTGTCGAAAACTGATTTTGGAAAGAAGACGGAGACCTTAATGATTTTCAAAATAAATCTTTAGTTAACCTTCTATCGATGATGAATATATTTCTTGAAGAGCTTCAAAAGCCATAATAACATCTAATTGTGGTATATAAGCAAGTGCTAAAAGATATTTTATTGATTTATATTCCATATCATGTATTATTCGTTTGTATTGCTATAAATTAAAAAACTAAGAAATATTTTTAAAATTTCAACAAAAAAATTATTTTACTTGAATAAATTTACAAAGTTCATAATGTAAAAATATTGAACATATTTTAATATCAGGTAATATTGTATGATTATGAAAGAAATTTTTTAATGAATCAATTAAAATTTTATCAAAATTTCTTTAAGAAATTGAAAAAAAATAACAAAAGAATATAAGTAATATCTTAATGAAAAATAGAAAATTTTTTTTCATTACGTTAAAATATATTTCGGTGTTTGTAATGGTAATAATTCATTAAATAATTTCATATAAAAAACATTTGTATTCGATGGTAAAAGAGCATAAATAAGTGGAAGAAGTGTTTCATTATTATTTTCAAGTACTTGAATGATTAAAATACATTGAAGATAATCATTTTTAATCTAACTTATAAATTCATATAGAATATTTAAAAAAATAAGTTTTTTTCTTACTTCATGAAATGTTGTACATAACCAAATAGATGTATTTGCTAGTTTATTTCGATAACTCTGTTCATTGTCACATGTTAATACTAATATTTGATTATATGCAAGTTCATTTATATGTAATAATGAACTATCATTTATTGAACGATAAAGAATTTGAATATCATTTGTAGTTAAATTTTCTTCATGTTCAATATTAATTAAAAAAGAATCGAAAGATTTTTGTTGTTGTCGTCGACGTTGAATACTTCGTTGCACTAAGAAAGAAAAGAAAAACAAAATGTTTAATTTTGAATTAAATCTATCTAACTTGCTGTAATTGAAGGAAGATTAGCAGCTGTTTCATTATTAACTGATCTAGAAATTCAAAATAAAATTTTAATTAATGTATATATATTTTTTTTTTTTAAATATTTGTTTTGAAATTTTAACCTTAATAAACGATGAACAATATCTTTAGGTGATTCATGTTGATTATGTTGAGCAGTTGTTCGTATATGATCAATAACAATAGCAGCTTCACATTGAGCTGGTTCAGATGCATGTGAATGAGATGAAACTAATGTAACATTTGTACGATTTATTGTTGATGAAAATAAAAATGAATTATGTAAATGAATTCGACCACGACAACTTTTTTTTGAACATCTCCATTGTTCAATACCACGATCATTCGATCGATCCAAACGATAGATATAACCATCAAGTAAAAGTTTTCGTTTACCTCGTTGAGTACTTATTATTTGTATTGGCTATTAATATCAAAAAAAGAAAACAAATCTTCAAAAACAAAAAAAAAGACTTAAAATTAAAACGGATTCTACTTCAGATATTGTTGAATTTGTTTGTAATGGAACTTCATTTAATGACCCCATGTCAATATCAGTCAAAAAATCATTTGTAAAACTTGTTGTAGTGTCTTCAAATATCATGTCTTTTTCTTATTATCTATCTATTCGTAGATTTCTTTTTCCTTAGTTGACAAAATCCGCGCGCATGTGTTTGATCTTACTACACTATTGATCAATGATAAGACGATTAATAAAGGAAAAAGTGCGCGCATTGAATGTCTACATACCACAATGAATAGAATCTCTTTCAATGACGAGTAGGTCTTTCGTTATTGAGCACTCATTTGGTTTAACATTATTGTTAAATTTCGAGTCTACGGTCTTTTTTATTCAAGACTGAATTTTTGAAAACAAAAAAAAAAGACACATTCCTTCAAGAACAGCGATGATCTAGTTTTCTGAACTTCATAACAACTATATTTCACGTAACCGTAATTGATTTTTACTCGATGCTCATTATACTGGTCTTGAACAATGTGTCGCACTACTATGTAATCCACAAGATATCTACTTTTAGCGATGTGCGGTCCTTACCCATTTCAAAAACTCAAACATAAGGTTCTTGCAGATCAAACGAAATCATATAACAATCGTACGAAAAATCATCGTCTCTGAAATCTTACGCTATATCGTATAATAAGATTCTCGAAATATCTTACTGATACATAAATTTTTCTATAATCTAATAATGATATTTTGCAAGACAGCAAGATCTTTCATGAATTTTATGAAACGATTTACCGTAAGATTTCAGAAACAATGATTTTCCCTACGATTTCCGTCTGATCTTGTAAGATCTTACCATCCGATGGATTGATCTGGAATTTTATAGTCAAATAAGTATTAAATCTGGCAATACAATATTTGTAAGATGTCGTAAAATCATACAGTATGAATCTTATGAAATCAGATTTCCAGTAAGCTCTTGTACGATCTTCATAAAACTTTTCTACCTGAGTTAACTATATATCATAGTATATGAACATTATACCTTCTATTTTTCTATCGTCGCTCTTCACAATTTTCTTTGTCAAACACAAAATGATAATGAAAAAACGTCTACAAACAAAACAAACATGGTGATTACTTTTAAAAGTACATATATAATGAGTTCCTATCTTTTACAATGTTGAAGATGGCTCTAATGAGTCCGTGTGTGCATACATTTGTCCTTCGACAAATATATTCGATTATGTGTTTTGTTGTGCGATGCTTGATTGTTTATTCTCTCTCATCACCGATATAGATATCTGTCTTTTCTTGAGTATAATAAAGTGAAAGCAAGAGTTATTTTATCTATCCTTGCTAGTACTCGTTTTTACAGAAGCTTCGAAAAAATATACTTCAAAATTTTAGATTCATGTAATGACCTGTGAGGTCATAAAGTTCTTATGGAAGAAAACTCTGAAGTCTGCTATATCACAGAAAAAAAATGAGTCCCATAGGTTAGAACAGAACGAACATATTCAAATTTTTTATCGTAAAGCTACTTATGGACTACCTGTATATTTAGATACAATGAGATATGTCCAAAGACCCTATTTCAGTTTGAAATCGAAAGCATTTTTTTCTAAATTCAGATTGAAATTATATAGACTGTTATATGTAAACTTATCCGATATAAACAATTTGACACCTAATCGTACTTTGGATTCGATGACTGAAATAATTTCATAAACAGATGTGTTTCATTCATTTTGAGTAGGCAAATTGATGTCGTTATGATCGATAAAATTGAAGAGGAAAAATTGAAACTTCATCTATTTTTGAAGTACAAGTGAATTTGTACTTTTTTTTCTTTGTTGATATCTTACAAATTATTACTTCTCAGATTTCCAGATCAATCATTACGGATTACCGTAAACGGCTGGTTTGTGTTGTATTGAATTGCTATAACACGTTCAGTATCACTGACTGTATACGATGACGCATTCTCACCGTAAAAAAAATACCGTAGTGTTGTTATATTCTGTGATACCAACGACCATATTATTCTCCTTGTATGTACGTAGAAATAGGGCCATCTTAACGAGTTGTATTTCATCGTATATGAAACATATTCTTCGATCAGGGCTATATCATTATTACAACAAAGGATTCTCATGTATTCAAACGACCTTTTTAAGTCAACACAGAGTTTATTTATGATTTTCGATTATTGAAATATCTATTCTTTGAAGACGATGTCTTTTGAAGAATTACTTGATAAAATACAACAATAATAAATCAGTACATTCAGCCAATGGATCTTATCATTCACGATTAGTTATTAAAAAGTTCTTTTTATGTCACTTTCTTCAATACATATATTAAAGATGTTTTATTTAATCAAAATAAAAAAAAAAGAAGAAGCGCAAAGATTAGTTTTTTTCAGTCAGAATTGTGCATTGTCAATTTTAGCAACAAGAAATATTACATACATAAGCAGAGAAAAAGAAAAAGATCAATATTTAATTATGACCAAAACCTAAACCGTGATTTTGTTGGTCGTAAACTATCATCAGTTGATGAATCACGAGATGAACTACGTACAAATCTTGGTAATGATGATTTACGTGGTGGAACAAAACGACGTCGTGATATTTGTGGATGATCAATAGCTGTACTTGTTGTTGTTGTTGTTGTTGATATTATTGATTGATTATTACATTGTGAATTACTCGTTCGAAGTATTGCTGATATTGAACGATCTATTTAGAAAACAAAAAAAGATTTCAATCAACAAAACAAAGTTCAATAAAAAAATTCTTTTTTTTTTACTTGGTTTTGTTATTAAAGGAAATGAAGTTGCTGTTGTTGATCGAGACAATGGTGTTGGTTGATCAGCAAGATATTGTTGAGTTTTAAGTGTTGCTAATCGTGTATATAATGGAATTTCTAAACCTTTTGATAAATTTTCTTCAACATAAGCACGTTCATATTCTAATGCATCAATCATTTGCATTTTATCTAATGGTGTACGATGTGAAAATAAATATGTTTTATTTTGCATACGATCAAATAGACGCCAAGCAAATAATAAGTGTACAAGATTTTCTTCATCTAATCGTGATACTTAAAAAGAAACAATTTTTATTTTTTAAATAATATTTAAAATAAAATTTTATTTTACCTTTTCCATCAATAAGATCTTCAAATTCTGAATTATCTAAATCAGCACGTCCAAAATAAATTAAACAATTACGTCGATCCTATTTTATTTTATTTAAAAAAATAAAAAAAAAATGCAAATTGTATCTTTTTTTATATATTTAAAATTTTGTTTATTAAACATACTTTTCTACAAATAATAAGTACATGATCAAAAAGAAATAAAGTCACTTGTTCTTTTTTACCATTTTGATATAAATAAGCATCAGCACGACCAAGACCTTGTGTACTTGTTTCTATTAAATTTTTTCCCTAAAATTATAAATTAAATAAAAGTCGTATTTTAAAAAATAAACAATATATAAAATGAATAGACAAGTTCCTATTTTCATCATCAGTTATGCATACTTTCATATCTATCAAAGGTCCAATATTATTTTTCATTGAACTGCGTGTTGCTTCAAATCAAAGGAATAAGTTTACGAATGAACCACTCGAAATGACACTCACTGTTTGAGTTTATATTGGGACTACAAGGATGTCTTGATGAGACTAGCAAAAGTCTAAAAGTTAGCTCCCGTGAGCCTTTAGACTTGGGTTATGATTGTTGTACTAAAATTTTGCAAGCACCTTTTAGATATTCACTGAAAGGTCAAGCAACGGAACTAATGATTTATAGAATATTCTGAAAGTTTTAGCCGAAAAGAACATTCTTTTTTTTTTGAGATATTGAATTTCCAAAAAATATTCGCTTGTCACAAATATGAGACAAAAATCAATTTCACTTGAAAATTCATTATCTTGACAAAAAATACTCTTTTCGGCTGAAACTTTAAGGATACGCTAAGAGTCATTAGACCTATGTGTGGACAAAGTTTCAAATTGAAATTCTGTTACTTGATTGTCTAGTAAATACCTAAAAACGGGTCGAAAATTCAGTAAAACGATCGTAACTCGGCTCTAAAGAAGAATTCGTCGAGTTGAAAAATTTTCGGACGTGAACCCGGTTTATTGAAATTTTTGAAGCTCCAAACCAACAGGCTCTACTCCAACTGTTCATTTTATCAGTTTAGGTAGTTCGCTCGTTAGTCTTTACGTTAAATTTCCGTGAATCCTTATCTTCCATAATGGTTCATAGATGCGATTCAATCCCTCATAAGAAATTACCGAACAAATCCATGAATTTCAGCTTCCTCTATACAATAAAAATTTCTCATTAGACATAAATATTTCGTCGTATAAATTTATGTAAAAGAAAAGTATAACGAGACTTAATTTCCAAAACAAAACTTCGACATCGGCAATAGCGGTTAAAACTAATTTAACGCTCATACATTATTGACTACATATGTAAAAATTTTCCAATCATTTCTACTATTCCCTTGAGATTAAAAATTCAGAAAGTACAAAAATATAGAAGAGGCTTTGCATAGACGAAATTCCGAGGAAAAAAGTTCTCAAGTTCGAGAACATCTCGTTGGACCATGATCATGACTATGAACAAACGATTGTTTTTAATCATAACAATTGATATAGCTCAATGATTCTTCAATGATCACTTGACTTTTCATACTCGATTTATTCAAAAATGAATATTGTTTTTTTTTCACAAATCAATTAATCATACCTGCCAATTTTCAACAGTTGATTGCCATTTATGAATAATTTCAACATATTCCATACGTCGTTTTCTTTCATTAATAAAACTAGCAACATCACGCATTGTATTAACTGCTTGTTGAATATTTTCATAATCTTTATGATCATTTTTTGTATATTTTAATAATTCATTTAATTGTAATGGATATTGACAAATACGTTGAATTGGTGATAAAAGAAAACCATCTAATTTTAATTCAATCATATTGGCTTGTAAACGACATGTCTATATTAATAGACAAAAACAATGAAATATTTAAAAAAAAAACTATATATGAAATTTACTTCAAAGAAATTTTGATAAATAAAATTATTTTCAAGTTTAGTTAATTCTAAACATGATAATGGATGATTAATACAATAATCTGAATATTTTTTAAATTCTTCTTTCTAAAAAAGCAAAGAAAAGAAATACAATAAAATAAATTTTTTAAATTTCAATTAATATTATCTTACATATAAAAGAAAACATTTTCCAATAAGACTTTCATGTGGACTTTGTTCATTAATAGATAATTTTAATAATTGAAAAAATGATTGTTGAAAATGATATATTTCTTCAATATTTCCCATTAATAATTCAATTTGTTTTTCAGAAAATAGATCTTTACGTAAGCGCATCTTCTTTAAATAACCCTAAAAATATAAAAATCTTCTTACGAGGAAAGTTCTCCAACTGATAAATCATTTTTGAATCGAGATTGTATGCATCATATAGACACAAATGAGTTTTGAATATCCTGAAAAGAGTTCGTGTTCTTAGTTTATTGCTTCGAAAATACATTTGTAAAATGAATGTCGCAGTAACAGAAAAACTTATCTTCGAATTTTGACTTGAAACTTTACATAGAGCATTAATGCCTATCTCTCTGCAAAGTTTTCAGTCGAAAATAAGTTTTTTTCTGTTACCACAGCATTCATTTGAAAAATACTGTAAAAGTGAAGTATGTTCGCACAAGGATATAAACCTTTTTTAGAATATTTATAGTTCATTTGGATCTATACAATGCATATAGTGTCGAGTTTATCAGTTTGAGAATGTTTTCTGGTTAGTTTAAATTTCATTCATTAAAAATTAAATAATTAACTTACATCAACTAAATTTTTCAAATGTCCTAAATAATCATATTCAGTTTTATAAATTTCTTTTATAATATTTGCTCGTTTAAAATTATTTTGACATTGTTTTATTTGTATATCAGATGATGGATACCATCCATCTTGATTGATTTCATTTTGATTATACCATAATTTAGGTGTTTTATTGACATCTGATATGTTATCTACTAATTTTGATGATTCTATTGTAATAACATTAGCATATATTGGAATTTCTGTATTAGCTATACAACCGACTAATGATGATGTTTGTATACTTGATGAACGAGAATTACTTCGAAAACCTATCGGATAAAACAAAAACAAAATGATATAAAAGAACAATAATGTATTAAAAGAGATTTTTACCGGATGATGATGATGATGCAGCTGTAAGACAATTGAGATTACGATTAGATATTATGGGAATATCTTCATCAATTAATGTTGATGAACATTGTTTACGACGTAATTGAATTGGATCGAAATGGTGAGATGTTGGCTAGATAAATAAATATTTATTTAAGGATTTTTTTCTTTAGAGATAATTGAATTGTCATTTCAATTCTTCATTACGCAAGAAACTTGACTAAAGGAGGTAGCTTTTCCTCTCCAATTCTGGCAAACTCAGAACACTTTCGGAAATTTATAAATGCATAAATTAGAACGTACAGAAACTGAAAGTTCGACAATTAAGAAAAAATAGCAGCCTATATAAACCAAGATCATCCAAAATAATAAATAATCCAACTATATTCTTTTATTTGAACTGATGAGAAAATATTCTTAACTATCGAAGTTTATTGTTTATCGACATGAGAATCCAAAAGGATTCATATCTATGCTTTATTCTTCTGAAGTTTGAGAAGAACTCATAAGCAAAACTCCAAGTCATACAAACCAAAATTCATTCGATACATTGTTTAAATGAAGTATTAGATTTTTAGAATTTCGAGACTTATCGAATTTGTTCTATTCTTTTTTTTTTTGCAGTCCAACAAAGTCTTGCTTCTATACAGTAGGAGTATTTTGATTTTTTTTGTTTTCAACTAACTTTAATTTTATGTGTAACAGCTTGTTGAACAATAATTGGTCGAATTTTACATTCTTTTATCTGATAATGACGTCGATGTTTATCTGATTTTTTACTTAGTTTTTCTATAGTTTTTTCTTCATTATTTTCATTTTCTAATCGTTGATAATGTCGAAGTGCTTCAGAAATCAATGAAGCATTACCTAAGAAACGAAAAAAATAAAATAAAATAAAATAAAATAAAATATAGAAAAACAATACAAGAATAAAAATAAAAGGTTTTTTCTTCTATTTAATTACACTTCAACAGATACAACGTGTTATCTTCTTTCTGTTTTTGTTAAAAACAACTAATTCGATTGATCAGGTGTATAAAAGATCTATTCTCATTAAATAACCATTATTCATTTTGTTTATATGTTCAACGTAGTTTAAACTAATGTCAGTTTTATTCTTTTTATATGATAAATGAGATAATAACCTTGACTCTTCTTTTGAACAACATGCAGATGTGTATGTTATCAGATTTTTTGTTCGTATTAAAAGACAATACATACCGACAGATAGTTATTGTCGTATGAACTCGTGTCCACTAATCTTGTCAATTATTTGAACTCAGTTGATTGACCTCTTATTAATCGTTATGTTTAAAAAACAAACAGTTACACACCACCTCTCGCTCTCTCTCTCTCCAACTGTGTGTGAGAAAAAAAAACGAGAAGATCAACAAATAATCATTTACACGAAAAGCCTTTCAAGAGTTAAGATTTTAACACATTTGACAAGTCTTAAAATAATACAAACATACGAACTAGTTACTACTGTTTTGCCCAAGGATATAATAATGGTTATGTAGGTCGTTTCTTTTTTTTTTCCGGAAATCATTTTTCAACTCCTTCTGCATACATTTCAATATTCATTACACAAGATGTTACATATATATATTCTTTTTTTTTAAGCCTTACAGTAACTTTGTTGATATGTGTTTTTTTATTTAATTAACATCTTGACACGAATGCATATATATATATGTATGTACTCTAATAATCATCACCATGAGTGACAAGAATATGACGTTTAACGTTAACACACAATCCGAATAAAAAATAAGTTTAAGATAATGTGGGAAAAAAATGTTCGCTCTCATCATTTATTAAGATTACTTAGCATTTCTATCTACTAACAACAACAATGATGATGATGATGATGATGA